GTGGAGGAAGCCTCTCCTTCAGTGGACGCTTCCGGTTGCCCAATTTGACGCCATCTTCAGCTGCCTCATCTGCCTCCGTAACCTCGAATGAGTACGTCTCCGCGCCACGCTCTACAGATACCAGGTTTTTCTACAAGCAATAATGTCTAAAATGCACCCCTACAGATGTGAACTCGGTGCTTTTGAAAGCCGACTCGATTGCGTTTTCCTGCAACACTGACTGCCAAACGCAATTAGAATTCTTCTTCTGCTTCTTTGAATCAACCCCACTCATAGAATTCTTGCCTATGCGAGTTAGATGAGTCCACATACTGACAGATGAGCATACGAGGTATTTTTGCTGGTGGTAAACGACGTTCGCCCTCGTCATCGGAGCTACAGGACGACAATTCGCCACTTGATAAATCACGCGCTCCAACTGACATCCTAAATGGACACAAAATACCCTACTACTACCCAAATTGGTAAATGAAGATACAACAGTTTAACTGCATACTGTACAAGTGATGATCACGCGGTTAACCTGAACAGGAATAAGAAGGTGTGAGAGTAAAGTGAAGGCTGCTGGTTAAAGGGGGACTCAATTTAGAAAGATAACTCTTACAATTAGGCGATGCATGGAGGCCAAATTGTAGTCTGACAAGGGCTGATGGTGTAAATTCACAGCCAACACTTAGACAATGTTTTGAAAATACGGGGAAATGCAACACGCTACTGAAATTATTTTTAATTAGCCTCAGTAATACACCACAGATAGATGACATGATTTGTTAAATGAATAGACAGGATGAAAATACTACTTAATGTCAAAATATAGCCTCCAAAAACTAGAATAAGAGCACAGAAACATATGAGCGTCTGAACGAACTCAGTCTGCTACACTATTCAACGACACAGAACGAGGTACAGTAAAAACCACCAAGTGATAAAGGATAATTAAGAGCCAGTTGGAAGATAATCAATTCCATCTCTCAAAATAAGACCGGCAAAAAAAACGACGGATAATTACGCCCAAACGAGCCTCAAACACCCTACCTGATACTAAAGTTGAAATGATACCGGTGAATCAAAGCGATAAAACAACTTTCAAAAAAGGAGAAGTACAAGCAAAGAAATTTAATTTTAACTTTAAACCTAGATTTACGACACATTTTGCTACTCGAAATTAAAAACGTAGGTTTTTGCTTAGCAAAGGAACAATTCCATTCAAATAGTGACTTTTGTGCAGGAATGGTTTAGGCTCTTTAAAAAAAGCCACTGGAAATGATTTAAATATGTTTTTAGGCGTCGTATCTGATGTATCTCTAAAACAGACATGTGCAATTTTGACAGTTTGTAAGAAAATTTATCGGCTTCCTTCAACTTGGGCCATCTAATTCATCCCCTGGATACCTAGTGCCAAATTCGACTTTGATACCAATAATGACTTAGTTGTAATTGTGAAGAAGGTTCTAAAGCTTTTAAACTCTATCTTTTACCTTTCAAAGCACTACAGGTTCTGCAAAATTACCATTGTAAAAGTTAAAAAATATTACAGTAAATCAAACTTGTACTCCGAGGCCACACTCTTCAGGTGGCAGAGTCTCGTTTTCTTTAATGTCACGCTTTTGATGTCCCTTTTAAACACAACTACAAGTAACACGATGTTTTTGATTATTTTTTAATAGCTAGCAGGGTTACATGGGTTTTTAAAGACCAAAATGTCAACGACGACGAAATCACTGTAACGGATATTGTACATAGATGTCAGTCGATTCCCTGACGGGGATCATCTGCATAGGCCTTGTGGAATTTTGCCATTTACCTAATAAAATGCCTGTGTCTAGTGTTGAGTTGTATAGTGAGATCAACTTCAACTCATAGCGCCCTGGACCGCGTCCTCATCTAGAACAAATATGCACAACATTAAATTCTATGGCTTCTCGTGTCAAATTGACATAATATTCAGCATTTAAACGCTTTTTTAATAGACCTAAGTTGCCAACGTGATTAGAAGGAATTTCTCAAGAGAAAGGTAATAACCAACAAAGAAAGCTGGACTTCAGATTTTTGCACTAATAAAAATATCTCATATATTTAATAGGTCAAAAAAGTGAACATGCGTTCAACTGCAATGACCCGTATTCAGTTTTAGGAGAAATTAAGGCATCATTTTTATATAGAATTCTCTTACCTACTTGCGCATCTGCGATAAAGACATTTAATACACGGAAAAGTTGTCAATTACTTGTAGATATTTATGAAAATGGTCAACATATACGTGCACTAAGCACATCTTTGCCCTGATTCGAGCTACAATTGTGTATGGAAAACACACGACGCATGTCCTATTGCTCTATCATTGTCCGTAGTTCAACATGTAATATTAATCTTTGGTAAAAACCAATAGTTAGACACTGTCGTCATCAAAATGACTTAGAACTGTTTGAAGTAAAGTGGCTGGTGCTGTGGATGGGGTAAGATAGTTGGAATCTACGTCTGTAACGACAAACTAGGTTTCAAGGGTTTTGTTAAAAAATCGACAAAACTACCATCACACACATTGAAACAGGTTGTAGACAGTCCAAGCTTTTGACAACTTTCCAAAAACAAATGCCTAAACATCTACACAACGTCTCAACATCATTCATTGTTTATCAACGGAATGCGGTGAAGTTGGGCCTTCCAACAATTGCTTTGCTTAAACACAGTTGTGCCTGAATCCACTTTATTAATCATTGCACCAATCCACCAAATTTTATAATTAACAGAGGGATTTTAGGAGTAATTTTATTAAATTTGCTTACGTTTTTAAGTGTAAGGTGAAAAGTGATCAGCTCGTACAAAAATGCGCCATATTTTCTCACAAAAAATAGCAGATTAGAGCAATGATGGTGATGGATACGAAACATGGGACTGGAAGCAGCATTATCAGGGCTTCCAACAGTTTGTCACTAAGGCAACTGGCTCAGAAAATGTGACTTGTTGCGCATGACTTCAGGAGAATTCATCCACAGCGTCAATGTCAGTTTCATCTTGGTCATACTTTGTCTCAGTTCTGGGGTCTGTCAGTGACACGTCGCTGATGTCTTCACTAATGTCACCATCGTTGCTGGAGGGCGAACTGTGGGAGACCGATGGGGCCAGATTGGAGTGCCTGATACGCCTGCGCAGAGCGCGCAGTGGGAACGTCAAGGCCACCATTGCTCTGGAATGCGGACCCGTACCTAACGTTGCCAGACCCAAGGATGGCAAAAGGGAGGTAGGACTCAGGCCCTTGATGCCCATTCCATCGAACTCGTTGGTGGAGTTCGACGATCCGGAAAGCATGCGCATTCTTCTTTTTCTTCCACCACCGTGTTTGGTGATGAGACGGCGGATGGGCAGACATGTGGTGGCCTGCTGTTTCTGCTCTGGAGGAGCTGGATCAAATGGAAGCTGTGCCTCTATCGCCTTACTTTCCATCACTTCTTGCTCCAAGTCGGTGGTACCGTTCAACTTGGAGCAGGCTTCATTAATGCAAAAGACCCATTTCTCCGCCTGTGATCTCGTTTTGGCCTAAAGAAAGCAACAGGTCAACTGTTATGAGGTTAACACAGACGTACATGTCCACGGATGTTCTACAACATCCAAAACCGCTTTTAAGGCGACTTTAATACATTAGACCCAGTTTATTCATCGATTTTGTACATCTTACGTGTGAGTTCGCATTCTTTTTTTACGATTTTTTGGTCGAAGCATCGGACTACGTCAACAACGACCAAGACACAGGATGTTTGTGTACTTTCAAAACCTCTCTACAAGTCGCTGGTAGAAATTGTCCCCCCGGTTTTGGTCAGCCAATGAGTGGCAAGAGGACCACAATCTTATTTTAACCCAAATCACAAAAATACCACAACTTAGCCAAATTGTGAAAAACACAAATCAAAGTAAATCGATAAATCGACGGATCGGCTAGAAATTGATGGGTAGAATTCAATGCATCGACAGTAGGAGAGGTATGGGTGTATGTAAATACCACGACGCTGTGAAAATGATCCACAGAATAACAACTCGTTGGAGGTTAAAAGTGTTATAAGAACTCGACACCCATGCTAAACCATGGCAGTTTTTTAAAAGAGCAAATGCACCTTAAGCCAATGAATGCACGGCATTTTTCAAGCGCACTACACAACATTTGAGCCTCAAATTAGCCGAGACGCAGCTAGGCCATGTGGCAGTTTTTTGTTGAATTCGAAACAATTCACGGGATTTTATAGGGTCAAGTACGGTTAAATAAACGGGTGATCAGGGTGCTCGAAATTATCCTTTAACTCTTGGTATTCTGTGAAATAGTAAGGGGAATATGTGTGTGTGTGTGTTTAAGGAGTTGAGTTATTTCTCTATCACAGTTATACCGCACGTTTCTGGCCAACCTCCCCTCTCTACTTTCCCTGAAAGAAAGCAAGCAACGAGGGGGCGGGGACGTGAAACGACAATTAGCCCTGTTTTTGATTGGCTGAGTCGGAACACAGCGTTGTGCGTTGAATTTAATTAGGGGTGCTGCTTGCTTAGTCGCAGGAAAAGACGAAATGCATTGTCTTAATTGACCACGACCGCTGAGAGACAGGATAAACAGCTGCCCAGTGGGTGCAGTTAGGGAAATTTTGCTAGTGGCCAAACTCACCCGGAAGACGTGGCATTCATTCGTCACCTGGTGGTGGACCTTGAAGGCACACGTATTGTCTCCCTTGCCCTCCACAAATCTCGTTGTCATGTGGCAGCTCAGGGGCACATTGGTGTCCTTCTCAAAATTTTCGGTTATCCAACGTCTAAAAGCAATGGTGGAATCAAAAACTGCTTAATTATAGAGCTCAATCTTGAACAATTATCAAAATATACTATGGTTACAATAATTAATTATAAAGGATAACGTGATCAGAAAAATCCTTCTGTATTCACCAGCACCTTTTGGTCTGAATTCTGATTTTGTGCAGGGCATTAAAAGTGGTAGTTATTAATATTCAAAGGAACTACTACACTTCATACAAATTATGTAGCATCAGAAATTGTTAAATGTTCTCAAACGATTCTACTTTGCATGTGCTTACCTTTTAGCTTGTGGAGTAGCTGTAATATCTAGCAAATGGAGGGCTTTTGTGAGAGGATTTAATACCGCGAAGCACTTTTGCCAACGATGAGTGTCCTTGACACGGTTAGGCAGGTGGTGGCCCTCGATTTTCCGGTAAAGTACTCCCTCGACTCTTTCTGTGGCAAAATGAAGGCTTGAAGTGATAAGCAACTTTTCACAGCCGTGGAGATGGCTAATTTTCGTGGGCACTTCGGTGCACTTGTGATTTAAATTCCAGTATCATTTTCAAAGGGGTCGCTGGGGGGTCTTTTGGTGTTATCAGTTATCAAAATACATTTGAGTTATGCTTAATCCACTCAAAACGGGACTATCGATCTAGATTTCCGGTTTATTGATTTTTTTTTCACTATTTCAACCTGAATCTAGTGGCTTTCCTGTAACTTAGGACTGTTTGCGTGGCACTGTTGATTGGTTGAATTTATTCCAAACTCGGAAATCGTGAATATCTTAAAAACGGATTTTCAGAGACGTCCAATTTACCGAACGATTCTTCTTCAGTCAAATTGCCTTCTTCCTGTTCCTCCACAACGTCTACGTTGGTGGGAGTTATTTCAGGCGACACTTGGACTTCCGGTAAAATGTTAAGTTGCTTCAGATTCTCCACCAACTGACTCTCCATAGCTACTTCCCATTCCGGGTCTAACTCATTGAGCTGTGCCTAAACAAGACGCAATGAGGCAACAAGTCTTCTCCAAACCACGACAGAAGGCAGAGTGAAGTACTTACCAGCTCGAATTGCGCCAGACGCTTGCACTTCTCGCCTTGGAGAGCCACGAACCGCGAGAACTTTTGGTGCTCTTCTGTGAGAGCAAGGGTCTCCTCCAAACTGGACCCCAATTCGTCCGCACTAAGTTGCTTTTCTGTTGTAGATATCCAAGTTTCCAGGTTCCTAAGATCCCTTGAAACAACAACCCATTTAGATAACTCCTGGCTCACACACACGTGGACTCTGTTCGTCTTTGCGATGTTTCGAAATGTATAAATTTTCTTTGAACACAAACACTAATTCCCCCATTTTTTTAAACGAACAAATACTCTACATTTGGTAAACCTCTTCATATTTGCTTATGCCAACTTCCAGAATAGTATTAAACTAACTTGGTTTTTCAATGAACTGAATTCTAAAGCACACTTGGCACTTTCCACATAGAAAAGTGCCAGGCTAATGACATCTCTTGTAACCATATTTAAATTATATTAGTGGCTGTCAAATTTAATTTAGCGCAAGGGGGCATTCTCTGCGAGGGGTGAAGGACGCAAAATCTTCGTAAACTTAAAAAAATGGAAGACACTACCTTAATAGACTCAATTTGGCTGTCAAGGCATCAAGATGCTTCCAGTAACGCCTCCAGGTGACTTTTAGTTGACAGAAATTGATCAGCAGTAAAGTCGCACCACATTTCAAAACCTGCGACGGAAGGGGTGGCTGCGAGCGTGTCAAGGTCACGAGTGAGGCCTCGCGTATCCCACTTGACACGTCACCCAAGGTCGAGCCACCGGACCAATCAGCTTGCAGCTGGTGGGTGGTTTGGTTGAGCATCTTGTGGACACCAATAAACGTCGGTGCTGTGTCGTATTCGCCACCTTCGAGGGCAAATTGACAACCGGCTGAGGCGCCTTCCTCACACTGGAGCTGAATGCACGACTCCCACGCGCAGATCTCGTTCCACAGTTCGCCGTGTTGAGCACTCAGCTTTGCCAAATTGTGTTGAAGGCTTTGTCTTCGTGGGGACCGGTAAAAAGGGCATTTTGTTACTGATTACCCGATAAAGTGGTTTTTATGAAAAAAAGTTTCGCTCTAATTTTCAGAATAGAGAAATTAAAGCAAGCCGTTTTCACAAGAAAACATTTTATTTTCTTTGCAGACATCGAAATATCACGAAATATATCAAGGTGATTTTTTGCAAAAGCGTTTTGTTAACGTCTCACGTGTTCACTCTTTTTCTCAAACAGCTTTCAACGGATCAGGCACCAGTGTTTCACACTAATGAATCGTAATTTTACAACACTTTTAAGCAATACGTTTTGGAATCTATTTATAGGTTGGTTATTGAAAACATTAAAGGCATTTCAATTATTACAGGAAATTTTTTCAAGATTGATTTATTATTCTGACACACCCGAGCTATTAAATAAAGATCACCATATTTTTTAACGAAAATCTTATTTGTCTGCACCTGGCCAATAGGAACAAAAAGTATTCCACGTAAACAAATAATAACACTAATTTGTGCATTACTTTTAATGAAAAATAATGGAGGTCAAATAATCGACCAGTGCGCAAGCAGAAAATGGTTGAAATTATTTGGATAAATTAGTGCAACTGCAATACTTTAATCAATTTTTTTATAATGGCGAATGGCAGCTGTAAACAGGGAAATATTTTTTCGATGTTTTTGATTAAATAAAGTTTTTTTAGTTCGTGAAGTGTTAGCTTTCAAGTAATTAAACCAGCAAAGTACAATGCTAGTATCTACACTGATTCGCTTATTACAATATTCACATTAATCGACGCTGGTGAGCTTTAATGCTTCTCCACTTACAAGAAGAGTCTGCTAATGGTAATGGAATAGATTCTAATTTCAGGCGTCGAAAACTCGATTATGTATAGACGTACAAGGACACCTAACACAATTACGCTGTGTACAACACGCAAACACACAGACATTAGAAGAATTTACAGGTATTCTAAGCGGTAAACTGCGTAAATACACACAGTTAAATGCTTATAAGTTATGATAAATGATGTCATTGATTATTTTTGTTTCAGACTAAAATGTTTACTTCGTAATTTAGAAAAGATTATGCTGATCAAATGTAGACCAATCTCAAGTGATCTCAGATTATCCAAATTGTTTCAAAAATACCCGATTTTCAAATAACCCAGCCCCACTTAGGCCAGTAAATTTCCTGTTTCCTGTTCAAACCAAAATGGACTATATCTTGTCAATCGAAGTGAGCAAATTAACGTGCCTAAGAAACAAACAATGACACGATAAATTTTTGATGCTCACACAGACGTGGCGGGCATTCAAAAATGCCTCCTTAAACTGATTTGTCTGAGAAATCTAAAGGTTTGTTTTACAAAGGTCAAGCTAATTAGATCGAAATTTGGCTCAGTTAATCAGGCACAAATTATTCTGTGTTTGTGAAATGCGTATACCAATGTCATGTAACGTAAAAAATTCAATGTCATATAAGTCAAATTCGTTCTTTGGAATCTAGTTCCGTAGGGAATACAGCTATGTCTCTTAAAATTTGGGTGAATTCTCGTGAAGAGCGAGATACGGAATATGAAAATATCTTGTTGTTGCGCAGTTAAGACTACAAGGTCATTAATTTGCTCTTAAATTTATTCACAAAATGGACTCGCTGAATAAATTAGCTCAGTTTTAGGTAAAAATACAAAATACACTCATTAAGGTGAACAATTTTCCGGGTTAAATTTATCGTGAAATTTATTTCAATTTGCGATCTTGAATTTGTAGTTAAAAAATCATAATTAGCAACTTAGATCCAGTTTTTTGCAAGCAGATGTGGTGTCTGATGGATGTTTGACGCTTTCGACTCGATTGAAACCTTAATTGCACCAAAAAACTTGCGTCAGTTTATTAAAACAATTTTGTTTGACTAGACAATTTGGCTGGTCGTTTTGATTCTGGGAAGAACACAGATTTTTGAAGTCATAAATCTATAATAGCACAAACTCCATCTACACAAATACTTTAAAATAAACTAGGATATGTCTAGAATTGTAAAACCAATTTCCGATGCGTTACAAATTTATAATAAATTCCATTGTCAATTTATAGGCATAGTTGTTCCCTAGGGGCCAAATTCAAAATAGACACTATGAACAATCTAACAAATGCTCTATCAAAGTCAACCGACCGACTAGTATTCTCTGTGGAATAAGGAGCGATATTGTGTAATTCGTTGATGTTGTAGTGCTAGATATTTTCGAATATGAAATTTCAAATTTCCAGTACAGGAATTAAATTAAGGAATTACAATTTAGTGTCTTAATATGACATAGTTCTATAATCAAGAGCTTCAAAGCACCATTTTTTTAAATGCCCTTAATTTTCTATTCAATATTTCGAATAAAATTTTACGTTTTGGATGCGTGCCAATAAAAAGCGAATTTGGGAAATAAAAAGAATTTTTTGGTCAAATCAAACTAGGCCATAATTGCACCCCCACTTAAACGTTAGTTGCATTATATCTGCATTTACGGAAAATTGTATGATCAAAATACAAACCGCAAACCCCACAAGTGTACTTTATTTGGCCAATTTTTGTAAATCTAAGATCTACAACCTCGCACATCGAAGAATAGTTTTTGTCAATCAGAAGTGATCAATTTATGCTTAAAACAACAATATCAACATGCCTCATTTGCATCAAGCAAGTGCTGTTTTTGATTTGAAAAAATTCCTTCGTTTAAGGTTAGTTAAGGTGACTTTACCATGTCGTTGCGCGGTGGCCATGTCTGTATTCACACAACTAGCTCATTCTATCACAGAACAAGCAGCGACGTACCCATCATTACTGCTCCCTAGTCCAGTAAACTCGAACTCCCTGGAGGCCTTGATCAGTTCGTGGGTGGAAGCGATCCAGTTCAAGCTGTGGTGCAAGCCGGCTAGCCACTTGCAGAGCGTCTCAGCGTCCTGGAGCATTCGCGAGCGAGTGTCGATGGTCTCGTTCAACTTGTACCACGTCTCCAGCATTCTCACTTTCCGAGTTTGGATTTCGGCCGCGTGGGTGTCAGCATAGCGTGGGAGTAGAACGTTGGCTGCACGAACCACCCAGTTAACCTGCAAAATAAGTGTTTCCATTGTAGGCACCGCTGAGTCATGAGGAATTGAGTTAGCAGATTTTGTTTAAAATTTGCAGGGCAATTTTATCAACTCGTATTACCCTTGCCTATGTTTAATTGTGCTTAATTCGAATCTGACTGCACTAAAATCGGAAAGAGCATCAGTAAAACCAATTGGTAATTATTTTTCACAGGATTAGAATTTAGTGAAGATCTTGACTAAGGAGTCAGATTTCGTTATATTTTAAAACACTTTTAATGTCGAAAGCTACCGAAGTCTACTACTGGATTTTGGCAAATCATATTTCCGTGTCTATATTTCGTGCAGCGTCACGAGTAAATCTACAATGAATCTAAGTGCTTTAACTGGCAAACAACTGTTACAGACTAGATGATTCATAAAGTTACCACTGACCGTTCGCTCACAATAAGCATGAATTTGCTAAACACCAATTAGTCTGCTTGCAGACGACATTTCACAATGCTGTTTTAAATGTATACGCACAACGGAACACCTTCAACCTTTCCCAAATTGCGTGAATACGGCTAATTACTTAACAAGAGAAATTTCAATTAAACAGAGTTGCACGGCAAGATAAATTAACTTAATTACTATAGCTTACTTTTAACTGCGTGCCTTCCTGTTAATAATAATTACTCATAAGGAAAGCATTTAAAAAAAACTTATTCAAATCGTGAATAAATTTTGATGCAACCAAATTGTATGCAATTTTGACTATGTGGCCAATTTTCCTACAACAAAGCAGTGTCCACATTGACACCGATAACCTGATTGCAACGTGCTGATCGATCGATGTGATACGAAACCGGTATGGTCATTGCTATTGCCTGTATGAGTTGGTACCAAATATGAGTTACTTATTCCGCGTACTTGACATGTGAACAGAAATGATTATTTAAAAGTGTCAAGGATGGTGTATACAAAAGGAGCTATGTTTGAGATTGAAGACACAAAATAAGGAAATTATGAGCATGCAAGCAAAATTTCTGTAGAGGATGCATCTCATTTCAACGACATTCAATCAGACAAGTCACAATTGGTCATTAATACAGGCGTTTGCAATTATTTAGAGAAATGTAGGTACCTAAATCAGAAGAACCGAATTCCCACACACTAGATTTTCCATTCAAATGCAAATTTTTACTGCTTTAAAGCTCGTTCAGTTGGACCTTTTACGCAAAATTGCTTAGGGGTTATGGTAATTACAAAACAAACCAGTTATCTAACATTTAAAATTCTAGATAAAATCATCCTGTAGACTACTTGACTAATCTAACTTGTTTCGACTAGTAATTGCATGACCACTTTTCTGAATCTATGCACAAGGAATTCGACGTTTAAATGCAAATACCGGTAAGCTGTATTTTAATTTCGTTTCTGCAGCAAGCAAAGAAAGAATTTGGAACCCACCCTCCTTGAAATGGGTACAATCGACTGTTGAAGGTCGATCTGTTGACGCTGTTGACGGTCGAGGGTCTTCAAGTCTGCTCCCAGAACAGTGGGAAAACTGTTAATTTTGTCGTTAAGGTCCATAATTACTCCCTACAAGGTAATTCGGATAGGGATGAGAGTAAACTAAGTGTCAATGATTAAAAGAACGTGAAGAGAAAGCCCATCGTAGCACATAATCGCTTAATATGAAATCATACGCATTTTTTCTATATACGGAAGCATTTGGACACTTTGACCAAATGTAAGTTTTTCAAATAACATTAATATAATACCGTTTCTGGCACATTTGCCAACAACCCCACAGAACTTAAAGTTGTGACTTTTTAAAATGTTTGCAGATTACTTAAATTAGTAAAAAAGGCGAAAAACACATCATACAATAAGCGACGCTCTATTTTGTACCAGATTAGATTAAATTATACCAGAATTTTGCTTCCATGAGTGAAAAGATTGTCGATTCTGTTTCAGCCCACATCCAGGCTTTAAAATTTTGACTTTGTAGATGGTTTAATAATTGCAATTTTCGTGAACACAGTGCTGGTGAAGACAGCAATTCCAAGAATACCCTGTATGTATCTCAACACAGATGATTACCACCCAATCGTTAAATTACAATCTGCTCAGAACTCGTGTTAAGGAAACCTTTCGTTTAAAAATGAGGTTCTTTTTAAGTCAAATTTAGACCGTATCTCTGGGTCACTACGCTAACAAATTTTAAACTGAAACGGACTAAAGAATACTTGTGTGTTTGTATTAAACATTAAAATGGATTCCGTAGAAAGTGTTTTTTTGCAAATTTTGATAAAAAAACATTCGGACTAGATTGTTGCGCGTGGGCACTTATCTACGCAGACAAATCACATTAAGCATTTTATGCACCTCACATCGCTGAAGAAATAGCAACCGATTTCCAGCGGCCTGAAGTAGTTCGCCTCGCGTTTTCAGTAGTTCCCGCAACTCACACCAATCCTCAATCAGTCGATCCTGCCATTGGGCAATCTGCGGCGAGTCGGAGTGCTTCAGCAAGATCATCTGTCGACACACCGTGATCGCGCGCACCAGCCTCTCTGGGCTGTCCGGCAGTGCTGGCAGTTGACCAATGGTAGCGAAGTCGGGTGCTGTCGTCGGTGCGTGTGTAAGGGTATGTTCAATCTCTTGGTCTGTGGTTCCATCGCCAATGATGCTCCGATGGAGGTCGAGGAAGTCGCGTTGCAGACGTGCGCACTCGTCAAGGTCGCGTCCTGTGTTGTCAGTGAGCACCTCATGAGTTCTGCTCCAAATCCAGTCCTATCATTTGGGAAAATTCGACAGGGGCGTTGCATGTTTGAACTCCTTATCTCACAAATATGGTATCTTTCGTATAGGAAAATGACAATATGCAGGTGTGTCGGAGTCCATTTGACGATGTGGAATCGAAGAAATTTAGAACACCAAAAACGGAGCGATTTGATACAGAAAACCTGCTTTTCAAAAGTCCTTATGAAGTTAACAGTAGTGTTTCTTATTGCTTTGGTACACACTTTACGTGGTAATTTGAAATCAACGAATCTATAACTTAAACATTTGACGTTGTAGGACAGAGGTGGACTTCATGCGTTTTGTGTTGGTGCAAGCACTGGTCACATTCACCTTGTGTAAGTAAGTGAAAGAGGCGAAGCATGCGAATAAAATTTTTCAAAACCAAATTCCACAAATCCACAATTTTAATTTTCCATCTACATTGATTTCTACAGGATCACGAGTCCGTTTTGACGTCTTCTCAATTGGGTAGTTACCGAGTCTTGATTCCTGCACAAATGATGTCATTGTTAAAAAAATAAATGAGTAATATGCTTAAATGTTTGGGTTTTGATCAATTTCACAACTCAAATAAGCAAAGGTCTAAATTTCCAGAAGAAACTGATGGCGCCAACCAATTAAAGTATTCCAAAACGAAGATTGCAATTCAATGGACCAGTTTAGTGATTATTAAGTTGTCACGACTGTCTTGTCAAGATAGCTTATAATTTAACTGAATTGAGCCTCCTGTAATAAATTGGTCTGAGAAGTCACCATGTGCGGGCTGTATGACACAAGTTCGCCTAAGTGACCTTGGTCAGGGCCTGTAATTAGTGTCTTCCTCATTTTACAAACGTTACTTTCGCCATTTCCGCCCCACGCAGCTCCAAATCCCGAGTATGAACTGATTTTTTGCATCGCAGTTGTACTTTTTTCCAGGATTACCGAGTGATTTTGGTTTAAAAGTTCGTAGATCAAGTTCTACGCAGTCTTGACTTCGTTCACATGAATGTCTGGGAGGTCAGAACCACGGTGTTGCCAGACACTCTCAAACAAGTCGTCTGACAAGTTTATCTTCATTAGTTTGAATGAGCTCCCCTCCCCAATCTCACTTATTCTCCTATGTAGCCACTTTCAGTAGCACTGACTTGGTTTCGACTAAATCATGGCAGCCATTTATTCTTGGAACGACTTTGTGTCAGCTCTTTGATCCCATAGCTGTAACTGCGTTTCTTCATTGCCCAATACTGATTCTGCCACATCCAATAATCTAAACACTATGTTACCTTAGTGTCCTTTATACTTTTGTTACAGTAATTAGCCCCTTCAGTCGAAGTAAGACGACGATTTCAAAGTTAAGCCCTTTAGGAAAAAAGGTTAGCGCAATTGATCGACCCTAGAAAGATGGGTCTTATCTGTCAGAGACGGCTTGAACCACAGAGCGTTTGTATCTGGACAGCTGTACGAGACCGTCTATTGGTTAAGACAACCTGAGTATGCAAACACCTGTCCTTTTAATAACCAGAGGTATTAAGATTGGTACGAAGGAAGGTACTAAACCCACATGCTATAAAATGTCAGGACTGTGTTCTGAAAGTTATGCCAGATAATCCAAAAAAGGCAACACTTAGTGACTATTGAACCCTTTTTTATAATCAACTGGATACCCACGGGTTCGTGGTAGATTTTCTCAATCTAGGTTGTAGCTGCTACACGTCATTCACATTTTGTTTTATCCGGAGGTACCCTGGTTTTCATCTACCCAGACATGAAAGGCAATTTTATCAACTCGCGCAGAATCATTTTAGTGTCCTTTTGAATCCCTAACGTAAAGAAGCGTGAGGCTCGTTTTCCACGGGTATTGAGATTTGTGCTAGACACAAAAAACGGTTGCATAAAAAGAATAAAAAAGAAGGATTGATTAGTGTACATACGTAGCAATTTACCTTTGATTTATCAGCCTCATTGGCTTCAAAACGACTGCACAAGTTTTGAGGAATGCAATGGGTGTTTGTTTCAATGTCCACCATGTAAACACGTTTTAAAATCAAAATGAGCTCCATACCATCCAAAAATTATGAAATTGTTTTACTATGACCACTCATTAATGAGGCTGATAATGTTCGCAAAAGTGAATTGTGGAGACACCTTGATTTTAACTCGATCGTGTGTTTGGACATGAATTACAAGTGGGTTTTGAGTGTAGCAAGAACTTGCAGTCCCAAAAGCAAATAGCAGAAAGTTCCATTTACGCAATTTGGTTGATGATGCGGGTAGTGATGGTTCAGTTTAACCAAAACACGCAACTCACAAAACCATTCTCGCAGTGTATATTGTTGGTTACTTAATGCAAGAACAAACATCGATGCTTTTTAGATTTAACCTCAAGGAAAAACTGATTTTGCGACTATCTCGGAGATTCTAAAAGACAAAATAGTTAGATCTTACAAGTTTTCTCCTCAGTAATGTCAAACCAAACAGGCGCACAATGATACTTAGAAATTTGAGGGCAGCTGTGGACGAATATTTGGGTATTTATTCAGTTTAAGATAGGGACGACAATCAGTGGACTGTTATTTCCTGCACGCATTTCCTAGTTTGTCAAAAATCACGAAAAAGATTGCGTTTGTATAAAGATTTCTGTACTACTCGAAGGTGTCTTGCGCATCTAAGGGCAGGCCACTTCGCAGATGGCTCTAAAAAACGACTTTTGACTCAATTTTACACAATTTAGAAAAGATACCTACTACTGAAATAAGACTGACTTAGAAAGAAGGGCCTACATTGTTTTCTTCGACAAAAACATTCCCAAAAGGCCTGAATACCAAAAACTGTTTAGTGAATAAATGCCTTAACAACGGCACCATGTTATCAAGAAAAATTGTGATTAAAATATCTACAAGCAGCTAACAAACCAGGTAAATTCGAGGTTGAAGGTAAACAAAATAAGTATTTTATTACAAATTGCTTTGAGATATCAAAGTTATAATTTTCACTCGCTCCATAAGTGTTCTCTTCAACATGCAACTACTGATGGTTTGACTCAAGCTAGATCTGAATAATGCATAAATTTTTTCAGTCTTTAAATTACTTATGCTTCTATCATTTGTGAAGTGCTACAGAAATTTTCTACATTTCATTAAATAATTGGTACTACACAAAATATGTCCCCTGTCGTGCTAATTTTGCCAAGAATAAATTGTGCCTGCATTTTATTTTAATGCAGTAAAAGAGCGGCTAAAAGACAACCAAACAAAAATTAAAAATTTACTTTAGGATAATGTTTCATTTAAGAATGGACAACAAATCCACATAGAAGTTGAGTGATTTCGTGCAAATTATTTGCATCATTTCTTTATCAAACATATCGACATTAAGTTGTTTAGGAGTTAAATTTATTGGCTTTAGGGGTAATAAAATTATGTTTTTAAGAAATCTATCTACTGGCTGTAGCAACTGTGACACTGTCTAATCCAAATAACAAGCAATATACGTAGTTGTCGTTGAACCACCCTACGACACACTTGATCAGTTATATGATGTGTCTGGAGCATACGGTGTACGTAGAAGTCAAAGCGAACACGCATGTGCCATAAAACAGGCGTCTGGGTCGAAGTTCAAAATTAGAAGCAGTTCTAAGGTTTCGATAGCCTTACTAGGGCCAAAAGCACGCCCTACGTGGATGTAGCAAACCTTCTGTCCGCTTTTGACATTTCAGGAAATTACAAATGCAAATAGCACGTGGCTGTCGGCTAAGGTGACGGTAGCGATGATCTTTTCAATATTTTTTATCTTACACGCTACGCTGGATGTTTCATGTTAGTCGTCAAACATTACTCAGGTAATGCTCTGATGCTCAGAGCATTCACGAGTAGTTGCGTTAGTGCGTTTCAGTTTGTCTTATTTTAAAATTTATAATGTTCTTTAATAAGTTCAAGGGAATTGCATATTTTTTTACAACCTTCTAGAATGGTCAACACATTAACGACAGCTAATATTCAAATAAGAAGGCAATCGAATGGTCAAACTGACAATTTTTGATGTCAAATTCTAGAAATTTTAGCACAACACCTGAATTTGCTGAATAGAAGTAAGATAGACTCGATTTAGTTCCTGTTAAAGCTTGCATTTTTTCACTTTTTTGTCTTCAGGAATCAAGGAGACCTTAATGACCCAGGTTGCACGTTCTGCAAAATGCAAAACGTACCTCCAAATCACTGACTTCTTTGTAGAGTCTGTTGAGTGCCAGGAGTTCGTAGAGGCGGTGCTTCTTTTCCATCACAAGGTCACGGAGGTCTGTGAACTGCTTTTGAACCGACGCTTGGGTGGCTTTGAGCTTGGTAGCCGAACGCTCAAGCATGTGAATTCGACGTCGAAGTTTGTGTCGGTAGGCCTTGGCTCCAGCAGCTTTCGATGCCTTGGTAATCAACACAGAGGCCTCAAGACATCGAGTTAATTTTTCCTTCTCCACCAAGATCATTTCGGCAATTGCGGAGAGCAGGACAGCTGTGCGGGACCCTAAAATCATTATTCGCTTATGTTTTCTGGTCCTGTTGAATGAAAGGTCCTGCCCGACAAAGAAGTCAACTCACCCAAAAATCGCAATCTTGGCGCTTGAAATTCCGACACAATTGCCTCCACAATCGAGTGTTTCTTGATGGCTGCGTTCGCGGATGCTAGGCCCCTGGCAGCGTGTGATTCCGCCATCACCGTCGACTCGGTCTCAGTGAGCCAGTTGTACAATTCCAGAAGGTCCATTTGCTGGTTGAACCAGGCGTGCCAATGACGGAGCACGGCTAGACGAACCGCGGTGTCTCGCTGAACCACAGCTTGACAAAAGACCAGTTCGCTCGACTTGGCAAAGAGCTCCCTCCACAAACCTGGCTGAACTGATAAGAATGCTGCGCAGTATTCGTCGTGACTCTCAGGTTCACGATTTTTATAGGCTCGCATCGTCGTTACGAGTTGAATCCAAACTGTGACGATCTAGTTCAAAAAACCAATAAATCATTGTGAAAAAAAAATCAAGTCATGTTTATCCAATAGTTGACACTGTAAAATAGTAGTTTTAGTCACTAAGCCGTTAGCCCAGAAATGGCTTAAGTGGGCTATTTAAATGTTTCGATTACAATAAAATCAGTTTTTCTTGGATTAGCACTCTACAATGTACTCAAGAACAATTATCGTTTGTTAAAGCCCGCCTCCAGAGAGCTTCATTTTCACTGAAAATTTGGCTTTAAACAGGTTAAGGGGAAAAATGCTCGAAAGATTTTGTGCACGAGGCCCGGTCCACACAATGTGATGAGAAATGCAGAAATACCTTCAAATAGGTGTCTCTAACTCACCTTAAGGAGTGGTTCGTTTCTCAGCTTGCGGTTCTTAACCTCATTGGTCAGGAGCTGATGACGAATGAGCAACTTCTGTGCCTCCAACAGCGACGGTCCGGTATTCTCAATGTTAATTTTAGCCCTCTTCTGTTTAAGCCACTGAATTTCATCAACGAGGGTTCTTGGGCAAAAAAATACGCAAAAATTGGCCAGTTTTTGACGCTACTTCAATAGCTCTTCTTCATCCATAATTAGCTAACTAAAAATTCAGACAGCTGTGGCGCCGATCATCCAATATAACCGTAAAAGATCTTTCGCAGGGTTCTTTTTGTGCGTAATTTACTGAGCATTTAAAAGCTTATTTAGTGACACCTTTTGTGTGCCAAATCTTGGTAGGTGAATTGGGCAATATTACGGAAGCTGTCCTTACTAAGGTAAACACATTTGAGCCTATTGGGATTAAAAACTGCGTTTTTGAAAGGATGACTAATCTTTTGGACATAGCGAAGAATCGCATTGCCATTTCTTAAAATTTTGAAGTTATTTAGAAGACGTTTTTTTAAATAAAAGCGTACTGTGCAGTGTATGATTGCTTCACAAAAAAATTGGTATTTACTGTAAAGAGAACTAATTAATCACAAAACATGGACATGTTACAGCACGGGTGAACAGCTACATCACTAGCTGTCTTTCGATGATTTACGTTAAATGCTAGCTGGCAGAAGCCAATTTATCAGTAGTTTCTTAACAAGGTCCCTCTAATGCTAAACACAGAGAAAGAAGTTTGAAAAAGAAACTGAAAAGAAGCTGACAAGGGTACTAAAAAATTAATCGCATTGCCAAGGACATGGCTCATTCTCCAAGGATAATATTTTTTATTCCGAGATATATTCCCAAATTTGGATGTATTAGACACACCAGCACAAGCTTATTATCCTGTTTTAAATATAGCAAAACGTTGGTGCAGTAGCACCAAAAACACGTCATGGGTGTGTAGCAAACTTCATCAAATGAGCGTGACTGAAGCTATTATCGGTCTTGCCTCATTTCTCGGGCCGTTACCCACTGTCGACTAGCTGGGTTGTAAGGTAGTGCTAATCCAGTTAATACAGGTGTAAAATATTATTAAAGTTAGATTTTGCATCTTGCAACTCATTATGTGTAAGATGAAGAATTAAGCCTATAAAAATGGCTGCACGTTGTTCATGAAACATACCGACACCATTACCAAGTCAACGTTTGTTTGAAAAGTTCAGAAATTTTAGAATAGTTGGATGTCTTACACACAGGCACTAACGTTTTATCTTTTTTTTAAAAAAAGGTGTTTGATTGGCTCCAGCTTGGTTGAAAGTCACTTCATTAGAGTACGCGGTTTCGATCCGAAGCAAAAGTAACCATGATACATCAAAATCTGCCTCTACAATTCCAAAATCAGCGCACAGATAATTTTTTCACAAGAACAGACTTCTCACAACTAATATACTATCATAACTAAAGTAATTTGTAAAATATTAATAAGAATCAAAACTTTTTGGAGATGATAATGGAGAGAATGAGCTCAACTATAATGCATTTCTTTTTACAGAAGCTGCTACAACTGCTTCGCAGCCATCACTTGTTGCATTTCGGCCGTAAACAGAGAATTATCCTAATAGAGGTTTGTTTTTAATTCCCAAAAACACTTTTACTGTGTTAGAGACAGCCTTTTCGTGCTAACAATAATTGAGCTGTTCTTTCAAATGCCGCACAGCCTCTGTTTTTGGATCCGCCCGAATTCGACTAAGGGAGATGCAATTGCCGAGAACAGAAATGTGGCGGCTTTTAAAACGCAATAGTCATGAACCATCGACGTTCACAAACGACTGCAGATAAAACATTTCCCGAATCCTGGTTAATTCGAGATCGGAGTCCTTACTGGTGCCTCTAGGATTGATTCCATCTTTGGACTCAGTTCAGAAAATTCATCAACGGTTACCAACGCCTCACAATTATTCGTCAGTTATACTTCATGACGTCGGGAAAGAGAATCATTTCAAAAAGCCAGATGAATTCAATCTGGTTACCAGCGTAGAAGAAACTATTTAAGAGCGTGAATGAACAATTAACCTGGTAGATTTTGCCTAGCAGGCCTTTCGTCGGAAAGACCTACCGAAACTACATCGCGAGACCACTACCACCTTGGTAATGCGCGCTTAATGTTATCTGCATGTAATCTATTAGGCTGACACGATGATCCAGAGGTGCAATGAAGTTGTCTTAATTAAAACAAATACTCTCCTTTTACTTCAGTTCAATTAACTCCAGCATGCTGTTTGTGCGTAGGCGGTCGACTGCTTCCAAAAGCTCCATTCGATTAGATTATTCTAGGCCCCTTGGTATTAAAGACAGGATTCTATAAAGTTGGTCATGTGGCAGTCTCATATACGAAGACATATAGGAATCGTAATCAAATGGTAGTTATTTGTTTTTGACCGAGCGATCGAACTCTCTGTCAAAAAATGGATGTTGTCTTGACCACTACAGACACCTGGGTGCAATATGCAGGAAGCATTCAGCATGCCAGCCTGCCAAATCTCTAAGATGCTCGAGGCATAATCAGTAATATAATCCAACCCATGTTTCCTTCGACCACGCTGGCTCAAAATATTGCCGAAAAGTTGCTACAGTGAGTCAACCTTATGAAACCAGTGGAAATTAAGGCAGTGATTAATCTGGGAAGTTTTACCTAACGACAGGACAATTGAAACCTAATGTGTGAGCAACTGACTTACCGAAGTGCATTGATAACTCGTTGCTGTGCTGAAACAGTCGCAAAACACCTGGTCAATCTGTTTTCCACCTTAAAAAACTGGGATTTGACGAGTTTCAATTTCGCCTCGTGCTCTGCAAACTTGTCCGTATTCTCCACCAGAAATTGGAAATGTTGCTATGAGAAACAAAACAATTGTCAGTAGAAAAGTGATTCAATATTCGGCATCCGTTATCGATTAATAGCAAAACAGTGTAAGGTGAGGATAATTGTTAAACATTCATTTACACACATTTTGCAGGAAAACCAAATGCGTCTAAGCAAAAATACTGTCATGTATTGCATCTAAATCACGGCCCTTTTTAAGTGCACAGAACTAGCGGCGGGTCCACAAGAAGCCACGGTGCATTCACTCTGGTTTCTACACTCTCTTTTTACTTGCTTTAAGAATTCAAACGCAAAAATGGGTTTGCGTGCGGCCGCGTTTTGGTTTACGCTTGTGATCAAATGAATAATCTCAGGTTAATTACACGGCATAGGATAATGCAGAGAAAAGACGCTAGTGGTGGATCGTGAGCTCTTTGAAAGAAAGCAGCCGTGGCGCCTGCATAGTGCCTATGTACGCATCGCCTGCCTCCCGCAAATTCACACTGGGAGGGAATAAGTACGTTGAGTAATAACAAGATGAACTAAAAGCATTGAGGCTTGTTGTCTGAGTATAAATTACTAACTGGAACTTGGTTGGTTGTGAAAACCACTGAATGATGGATAACACCTACTGGGTACAATTTAAAAATCGATAAACTATTTTACAGGGACGTCTCTAAAGGCATTAATCAATTAGTAATCTGATCGCTAATCCTCTTGTTTAAATGCGCTGGTAACCCCGTATTAAATTTGAAACATAGCAGGCATTGTTGTGGTAATACTTTGTAATCACGATTCCTGATTATGTGCATACTCCTTTTCACAGAACAGTTTCATAACATTATAAAAATTCATTTTTAAGTTAAGAAATTAAACGACTATATTTCTATTCTTTAGTAATTGGTTAGTTTGCCTAATCCTGTCGAAAAAGTCAATTTACTTAAGTAAAGGTAACATAATTTCCAGAGTAAAAACTATTTTTTGGAGCCAAGAAATAGACTAATTATTTGAAAAGCCATTGCACGAAAATGATTGACATCACAAAAGCGTCTTTAGAGAAGAAATCTCCAACCAGGGTAACGTTTTGGAGATTGCCTGATACAAAAAGTCATTTTAACCGTAGATGACGTTATACAACAAGTTCTACGTATCTTCGTATATATGAGGCACTCTTAAGCTATTTATAATCCTTAAAACCAACGCACTTATGTTGCTACAAAGTAACAAATAATGACAAGAGAAAAGACCTTTAGCAAAACAGCGTCTGCATTTAAACACAAAAATTTGTTATTGAAATTGGCTGGTATAACAACATCCTATCATGTGTGTCGATGAAGGTTTTACTGATGAAATGCTACACTTTGCCGTGCTTATAAAGTTAAAAATTTAATGAAATAATTTCAACCTGCTTTTAGTAAAACTCCACGACATCATGGTGGGTAGAGGAAAACTAAGTCAAATACGTGTATGACGCAATTCATTCCAAGGAGATTTTTGCAAATATGCATTATATGTGTATTCTTTGCTTAAAGACAATCCCCTTGCATTTAAGGGCTGATAAACTAAAAGGCAATTTGTTCCTCGTTTAAAAGGTTGATTTAGGCTTACCTCTAGTTCCTGCAGAAAACCGAATTTACACTTCGTCTGCACTTTCAACTCATCAATCTTCGACAGAGCCGAGTTCAGTGCACTCAGGTCAAAGTTATCGCCAGAATCCTTTGAGCTGGGAATCAGGAGGTGGATGTTGCTGTGAGAGACTGCATGCTGTGGGAGGCACGAAGTTGTGTCACCGCGAGTAGCTACATCGAAAAGGCAGGGCATTGAAGCGGACAACAAAGACGACAGTTCTGTCTGGCGTACGTCGCCCTCTTTCAGGTAGTGGCGGTTCTGGAGAGCAAAGATTCGTACCGATGCCTTCTGCAGCCATTCTAGCAGTTCTTCACACCCCTCCGAGATTATGATAGCTTAGAAATGTAGAACAATCGTGTTGCAAAGACGAAAAATGATGCTATTTTTAAGTGCCGGAATAATGGGATCAAAGCCGTTAAAAAAATTGCAAAAGCTGCATGGTACCTTATCTATTTAGGTTAACTCTCAAACACTAACTAGGCTGAAGTTTGTGAATCTTAAAAAAATGCGATAGTTGCATCTTTGATCTGTTTGTGGAGTTTGGTATTAACGACCAAAGCCCGTTTACACTCGTTTTTAGACTGTTTGTTAATCAATCACCTCTGACTAAAATTAGGTTAAAATACTCGCAAGGTTTTAACGATTTATTTCCTAAAATTCAGTTGTAAAGTCAATCTGACAAACCGCGGGTTCATATTCTGAAAATGATGCTAGTAACCTGCTTTTATTTATTATTTGTCCATTTACTTGAACTTAGTTAAATCTACCAATAAAAAAAACTTATAAAATATCACAATTACATATATTAAAGTCTTCCAAATATGCCACAATCCTAATACACAGGGTAGTAAGCGATGACGAATTAAAATTTTAAACTAACTAACTGCGTTGCCGCCATAAACTAGCTCAAATTAAGTTATGAAGTCAACAATGTCCAATTAATATTGGTCGCCTTTTTAATTCCACGTGCTATCTCATCCACACTTGCGTTTTAAATGTCACGAAATCCCAAGAGTGTTCCCACGTCATAAGCCATAAATCGTTCAGTAAGGACTATGGAATAATTCGTAGTAACATTTTTCACAAAATTTTGATATACAAAATGCTCAAGTATTAAAAAAAATATATCTCGCATTGTCTCCATTCCTGCAAACAGGTACCGAATAAAATTGTCATCGGGTGACACTTTATTATGTCATTTTATTTTTCAACACTTATTTCCTAAAATTGCATCTCTTCATCATCATCATCATATGGTTAGTGGAGGACAAAATCATGTGAACGGTTGCTATGGTAAACCATAAATTGATTGGTGTTTTGTTAAGTTAAATAAATGCTTGCATAATCGCAGTGAAATGAACTACCAGGAGATAGGGAGGACTACGTTCACGAAGACGACCATTTCTTAAATCCAAAATCTTTGTTTTTGAAGTAAATCTTTATTAGCAGGTATTTTTATGTTACAAACTTACTGTTAATGAGTGCCGTAAATAAGGCTTTAATAAAAAGGCTAGAGCCCTTACGATCAAATATGCCTCGTCAAATGAAGTTAATTATCAAAGAGTGCTCGCTTACAGACCACAGCAGTTAGTTTATTTGAACGCTTTCGGGTGTTGGCAGAATACAAAGTATGGAAACAGTTTGGCATCCTAAACCGAGTCATGGGTACAAATTCACACTGGATTCTGCCATAGCTGAATGAAACTCATGTGAAATTTTTCCTCAAACTTATTCTTCTTTGTTTTCTCCTGAAAAATATACATGGATTTTTGTACACTTAAACCTACCGACCCACACTTTTAACAATGCAACTAGTGGTTTATGAGGAAAAACAGTAGGGAAACATTGATACTCTGGGTAAATTTATGTTTGGTGAAGTTCGCCTAGGCAGAAGACAGCAAAATCACTTGTTACTTACAACATGCTTTTCTACTTTGGCGCCAAAATGATGACTGTTATTGGTGGAATGGTCGCCTAAACCATAATAACGCAAATAAATATTCATTTTTGTAAGAAAATTGAGCAGATTCAACGCATACCTCGGTAAACCTCGACCAACTTGCTGCCTTGCATGGTTAAAGTGGTGTTAAGCTCATTCCATAGCTTCATATTCCTGTCCAGCGATTCTTGCAGATTGGAGACGTATCCTTCGTTCCCAATTATAGTATTTTGGACACTCTAAAGGTAGATCAACTGTGCTTAAATCCTACACTTATCGTGCATTATCTGATCCAATTTTGGGTGATTTACGCTCTACCTTATAATAATTCAAGACAAAGTGTACATTTTAATTAGCCGCTCATTGTTAAATTCGTGCCTACCAGCAGATTTCGGCAAAAGATATTTGCCAAATCGGAGGTGCCACTTCAAGACGTAAAATTAGTGAAGTGAAGCCGATTACTCAAATCTGTTTGGTAAAATAAATACACTGACACACGCCACGTCCTATAGAATGCATTTTTTACATAAATTTAACCTTCTAAAACGCAAACTGTGCACTTTAGCATGGCCTTTAGTCTCCAACCGACTACTCGGGAAAGGTGGGATCATTAGTCACGTCAGGGCGTAGTTTGTGCCTTCAGTAGTGACGCTGGCTTTTATTTCATTGCTGAATTTTTTTAAAGAAAGTTATGAAACGTTTCTGTGGCACTTTCATGGAAAAAAATTGCGACTCAGAATAATAATAATCCGGAATGTTGGGAATAGGTTTGATAATAATTATGTGAAAGTGCATATTATTCCCAGATGGGGACATGCGAATCTACAGTTCCTATGCAGAACAAAAGATTGTCTTAAAATTAGTTGGATTAAAATGCAAGAAGATTGAAAATTCAAAATTAAATTGCACCGTATGATGCTTTTGCCGTATATGTAAAGAAGCAAAAAGGGAACACCTGAAAAATCTTGTTGGCCAGTTTGCCGTAGCTCTTTACTTCTGCCTCGAAATTCCGAAACAAATGGTACTTCTGGATTGCCTTTTGCTCCTTTACAACAGTCTCCACGGTAACGAAATGCGCAGTAACAGCAGCCTGGCGTTCCAGAATCCACTCCTCCATCTACGTAGGTGTGATTAAATAAACCGTAGTTGTCACAAAATGCTATTATGACTGGATCACTTTTCAAACATTAATTTACGCTTATTTACATAAATCTCCCGACTTTTGACAATAAGCTGATTTTAACATGAACCCTCAATTTGATGATATGAATCGTTTAAAATCCGGATTTTCAAGGTTAGAAATTTTCGGTGTTAGCGTTGTCTTGGTGATATCATCGCTTTTGCGGCTGCTAGCGTTTTGAAATCCAGACAGAAGCATTCAAAGCATTCAACCTTTTGCGCCAGATTTGAAAATCCGCCTTCCACGATTTACTAGCAGTTAAACAAATGGAATTTCAATTTTTCAGCTGAACTACCACAGCAGGATATTTAAGCTAACGCTTTACACTGACTTTTCAAAACAGGTGAATACAAGTACCTCTCATATTTTGAAACTGATTATTGTAATATATTTAGTTTATTTGCAATTTGCTGCAACTGTGTGCAGCGGCTATTGGTTGACAAATTCCGTTTCACCTCTGATTTGTTTTGGCCACAAATTGTAACGCGTCTTTATAAGTTCTAGCATAAAATCAGACTGAAAATTCCTGTTTTGCCCAAACTCAACACACTCTTATACAACAAGAGAAAACACCTAGGTATTGCGCACAATATAAACATAAAATTAAGGTGTGCGAAATAAAAAAAAACGTTTTTTTGCAACATACACTTTCGAGTTGGTGCAATTTTTCCTTCTCCGCCAATCGGAATTCAAGCAAGTGAAGAACTTTTGCTGCTTTATCTTGAAGTTTGATGTATCTGTGAGAAAAAGAGTCGTAAACTTCTTGTAGATAAAGCTTACGATTACTGGTTGGGCCCATCAATCTAAAACCTTAGTTGCCATGGTAGCGAGCTCGGTTTTATGCGATCTGTTAACACAAAGTACAAAAATTATACCCGTTAACATCAAGTGATTTTGCAAACCCATGGTACCAAATGATACCTTAGTGGTAATATGCGACTTGAATAAGGAATTAAATTATCTACTTGAAGGAGACAAACGATAAATAATGTTTAACCTGTAGATTATGTGGTGTTTTACTTGTCTACTGGACTGCCCCATAGGGACGTGGATTTTAAATCTTATCTCTGCCGTAACAACACATCTGGTCAAATGTGCGGTCGGTAGACTCAAGAATTTAAAAAACACATTTTCACCTTTTATTACTGTGTTAACTCATGTGAGGTGGCGTTAAAAACATGATCTTATCATTCCATATTATCTGGTAAATAAAAATACTCATTGAGGATAATTTTAAATTTAACCTTCCACAAAGGGCCGTGACTTTTTGAGTTTGCTTATGATTTCGTAAGCTTGAAAAGTGGGTATTTAAGTTATTAAGAACTACATTTAAACAACAGCAGACATATGGTGAAGGTTAAAACCTACCTTTTTGCAATTTTTTTCATTTTATCTTAAATCTGCCAGACCAGGAAGTTTTGTGATTTTAATTGGGATAGACTTTTAATATCAGACACAAAGTAGTGTTCTCGAAACCGTGTTGATGAATCTGGAATTGACACAAATGGATATTTACCTTTAAAAGAAGCTGTCTACCGCAACCCGACTGGAAGAAATTTTGGAATACATTTGGCCACTGTGGGTACCAGTGGGATAAGTGTGTATAAGTGCAAATCGAAGGCATATAATAAACCGATTTGTACATAATATTGTGAGTGCTTCTCGTGCAACCGTGTTTTTTGTGTGACATCTTAACCATTTGGCTATAATGCGTGAAGTAATTCCTCCAAACCTGTTCTTTTATTTTTAACTTAAACCGGTTTGCGAAAATTCAAATTTTACCATACAGCAATTAGCAAGAAGGCTAATAATGGGGAAAATTGTAAGCTAAGAATCAGAAAATACAATTTACTCTACGTGTAATCAAATACAGTATCACACAAAACGAACTGGATTAAGTTGTCTCAATCAACGCCATATTTTTCCTAGTCTGAATCGACAGAAACAGTTTTATTTTCGTCTAAACAACTCTTAATTTAAATAATTTTTGTGACTTAAAAATGAACTTTAACAGCAGCAAGCCAATAGGGTTCCATTAAGGTTATTGCATACTAATGCACAATTAAACTTATCCATTAGAACACAGTTAATTCACTGACACGCACCTTCATAAAAACTAGCCTCCCTCATAAAACCTACACCCTCTTTTGATCAGTAACAACATTTTTTTCCAAATTTTGTAAGTTCAAGGTCAAAAATGTGCACTGATCGGGCCTATCAAGTGTGACTCAACTTCAAAAGATGAAAATGTGCAACACGATTGACAAAATTGTGTGCTTGCCTGCTCATTACCGCCTCCACCTTTGCAGTGTACTTTTCACCGAATTCGTGCAAGTGTACAGTTGATTGCAGCGACTTCATTTGATCACCAAGCGATTCAATCGAGGCGAGAACTTGTCGCTGTGTTTTTATGTTGCATCTAATGTGATCGATGGTGGGCTGCAGTCACAAAATAACGGTCAATACTGTAGACCTGGCTACAGGAGGATGCACTGAACATGGCTGGAGAAAAGACCTACAAGGTAGTCTGTTTGGACGATTTGGTTTTCCTTGCGACGAAGTGACGCATTCAAGGCCTCCATATCTCGTAGAAAAACCTAAAAAATTACTCTGTGAAAACATTTACTCAAATGCTGCAAAATCAACATTTCTACAGACATAACCGATTCCGTAATGTCGTAGCACTGTTGTTTTAAACTAGGAAAGATTGTTTGGCTGTTTGGTTCTGCAACTACTTGCATTTGGAACTCTATCATTCGAACTAATTACGCTGTTGCCAATCGCGTTGATTCACACAAGTTAATCCCGTCACTCCAGCCTCCAAAACAGTGTTCTCCCCTTTCGCAACATTTCACCAGCCGCGCGGATCCTCAACTCCCCCCTCATTAGTGCAAACGATCATCCTAAGTTACCCTCACACCTAGGTCTCAATGTTAGCACATCTATGACTCACACATCGGAAGTATAAGTACACACCCGCAAACGCCACACACGACGCAACGACATCAGCTTGACTGAGCTCTGAGGTAAATGTTTGTGTCCACGTACTATCCGGTATTTTTTTCTCCTGGCAGGGAAGAGTAGTCGTGCCAGAGTTAACTCTGTGACCCCGGCGTGGTTCGAGAACACAAACAGTGTGCTCGCAACAGCACAAGTGACTCATACGTAAGTGGCTATTTGTGCTAGAATGTCTAAAAATGTATGCTTGTAATTTTATAGTTATGATTTACTATCAGTATATTGCAAATTCACGATTATTACCCCACTCATTTTAAAGATTTTACAATTATCAGTGCCCTTGGCAAAAGCACTGCCAGAAATATTTCTCTTACCGTTCTTAGGGAAGGATTTCATGGTTACAAGCTCACCTGAATGTCACGTTGGTGAAGCAGATTACCAATGTGATGCTTACAAAGAATCTCCAGATCTGACCAGCCATGTGAAAGACCATGTAACTTCTCTTTGACAGCATTCGCTACAGCTTCCTCCTGGCTAAGAATGAGCTCGTTTCCGTGTCTAAGCAGCTCTTCTAACTTCTCCTTGGAGGCGTCTAGCTCTGAAGCAATCGACTTGAAGACGTTAAGTTGGTCGTCGGTTTCGGCAATAGATGTTGGCGGCTCCAGCGCCGCAATTGTATTCTGCTTTGTTACGAGCATCAGATTTGTCGCCTCCAAGTCCTTGAGAAATGAAGTTTAAAGTAAAACCACTAAATCAGACTACTTGCTTTTTTTTAGAGAAGTAGAAAAGGCCATGAAATTTTGTTTACAAAACTAGTGCATTTGCTAATCAAAAACAAAGGAAATCTTAAAGGTGATTTATGGGTTCGCAACGGCGCACGACCTCGCGAGTGAGCGTGTTTTTTGAGAGTTTCGCATAATTTGTAAAAAAATGTTTTTGTTAGGTAACTCACCGTAACCATCTTGCATATTACCTGCAATATGACAGCAGTGGGGTAAAATACCTAGTTGACTGAACAAATATTCAATCACTTTGGTTATTTTCAAGCCAATTTAATTAGCACTTGAAGTTTAATGCCTTTTACACCTTTTTAACTGCTCTATACATTTAAAGGTGAACATAATTAATTGTATTGCATAAAAAGATAGTTTCTGGGAAGCATCAAACAACTTTCCACAAATTTCAACTGTTTACTTTAACCGAAAATATTTATTACCTGTTAAATCATCTTTCCTTGCTGCCTATAGTCTCGTTTATCTAACCTCAATTTTAGTGAAATTGGTTGAATATTAAAATTTTTTAATGCATAAGCATTCACACCAATAAATAATTTTCCGTTTTTCTTCTTGTTGATTAATTAAATTCGCACCAATTTGGATTACAGTTTTAATTGACGCTTACCAATAGGACCCGTTATTATATTTTATAATGCAGAACTTACGGCGTCTGCATCAACATTCTGGTTTCCAAATTAAAATATCATAAATGAAACTTTTATTAAATCTAAATCTAGAAATTCATCGATTTTTCATCGATGGTGTGCTAAATAAACAGAACGTAGACCTTTAATTTCGGTTACAGAAATACCATTTGAATCACAACGTGCAAAATTCACTCATAATGATATTCACAAATCAACCTGAAGGTTAAGCGTTCAGTTTCAGTAGCTCACCCCAAGGGTAAAACAGTTCAGAGATTTCGTGTTGGATAAAAATATCACTTTTTAACTGCAGTATTTTTTCAGAAAAGAACATGTTTTTTTACACACTAGTAGTTACCCTAATACTATAAATCGATGACTTAATAATAAAACTTTTCTTTCTTTAGCAAACGTTTATAAATTGTCATAAACGTTTAGCCTATAGAATTGCATTTGGTGGAAATAACATTAGACGCCTTACAAGAGAGTTTGTTTGTGCAGAAAAACGAGATATGGATGGCTTCCAGTTTCAGAAGTGATAATAAAGTCATTTTACGAAAATCTGTGTGCAAAGCGAGACTAAAAGCGTGGATCCCCATGTCGGCTGTTTGACGTGTCAAGCTGTGAAGCCAGATGACATCCATGTAGTTTCTTGAGTTCGTGCACAAGAAACCTGAACTTGGAAAAGGAATGCGTTTTCAGCGACGAGCATGTTTACGGAGAATTTTTCATCTAAATTTGCAAGAACTGGCAGGAAAAAGTTGTTTGGTTGATAAAAATGTCCTGCTGCATAATTCGCTACCTCTACCTCACCTAACCTTATGCCAAATGTTTGATACGGTTTCGGAAAAAAATCTGATTTGGTCTCGCCACTTTCCACGCACATATAAGAGGGCTCAAGTGGACAATGTCTTTGTGTCGAAAGACTTTGATAAGAACTAACAAGTGCTATAGGAATTCGATTAACACAAGTCTACTTCTCAAAGGACCGGCTTCAAAGTTCAAAAAAAATTCGGAATTTTAATAAACCTCTTTGTTAGTCCTTGAACGTCGATCTATTGACTCACCTGCAGCATGCCTTGAAAGGCCAAAGAAGCCTCCAAACGCTTTTGGTACTCTTCAAGCAATCCCTCAAATTGCCCCCAGTCTGCCTGCAATTCCAGGACCCACGATTCCAGAGCAGCGTTCGCCTGCCTCAGGTCGCCGGATTTCTCTGAATCCGTGTCCGAAGCGGAGGAAAGTTCGTCCAGAGCGACGCGAAGACTGCTGGTTTCCGCAAACACGTGGCTAACCTGATCCCGCAGTGCATTCAAATCCGTCTCCCAGCCGGCCATGCGACACTCCATGCGGATCATTTCACCCATGCTGTTTTTGGTTTCGGCTGTGCTAAGAAGGAGTTCTTTCTTGTTCCTCACCCACTGACGAGTGCTTGCGACCTCAGATTGTACCTGGTGAAGTTTTTCTGCGGTGTCAACTGACAGACGCTTCATTTTGGCCGACAAAATGAGGTCGTTCCAAGCGTCGTACACATGCTCAAGCAGACCATTCCATGTGGCCTCAACGTCCGATTGGTTGATTGCGTTTTCGAGGTGTTGGATAACTGGAAGGCTTTCTTGGGTGTGTAGATGAATTTCCTTTTCTATCACTGCCAAAAATGGCTCTTTAGATGTCGGCAGCAGAGAAGGAACAGCCTCGGTTGTCGCTGACTTCAAGTCAAGTCCACACAAAAATGGGGACTCCATTCCTGATAAATATTTTTGACTAAAACGGCGCAAGTAAATTCGAGGTTCAATTTCAGCCAGAAAATCCTTCAGTAGGTATAAAAATCTATTTTTAAAAAAATTATGAAAATTCTTGTACATGGCACATTAAGAATCGCAACTAAATACGTGTGTCATTTTAAATTTAATATGCATTAACTTATTGCTTTTTATGCCGGTGCTAATTGCTGGTTTACAGAAATAATACTTTATGCAAAATTAATTATTCTTACAAGCATCCTTGGATTTTCTTGTTAAATATCCACAAAGCTTCCTAAAAAATTATTTTTCAGATAAAAATCAGTGTGTTTAGAAGCCTCAGAGATTTTGGGAATTTAAATTACAATATTAGTAATAAATGTGGATTCAGTGCAGTTTGTCAATTTGCTATCATACAGACAAATAAAGATTAATCAAAGTTGAGAGTCAAAAATGCTGAATTCATAATTGACGTAGCAAATGTTAATGATGATGAGACCGGATGCATCTCGCATCGTACAAAATGCGAATAAATCAAGAAAAAAACGTAGTTTTTTGACAATTTTTTCAATATTTCTCAAAAACGTAGCTGTACTAATTACACGCTCCTCAGCCTTAATTCATAGCTTAAATATAACTTGGTGTAACCTTTAAAGAAACCGCAAATTTAAATTCGCCAAAAAGAAATTTAGTAAGAAATTATTTAAAGTCCAATATCGCAAACCTTTTTGAACAATTCCGATGGTTTCACGTCAGGTATCACAGTAAAATATCGATTTCTAGTTGCCATTAGATGAGGTTTGGATTGGTTACCTAGATAATTTTAAAGCTTATTTGCATATTAAGCATGTAGCAGCAATTAGATGGGGTTTACCGGATTATCTCTAAAACGGCTTTCACTGGATAACGCCTGAATGAGTTGAATAAATTGACAATAAACTTTAAAATATTAGCCTTAAAACTCTGACTGGCATAATTAAGAACAGGTCTAATTCCTGGATTATGCACGAACCGTAACCGAAATTCAGGTGGCAATTGCCTCCAGAGCAAAAATTATCCTGAGTATTTGCACTTGATCAACGTGTCAATGATTGTACAAATATGTATTAAAATACACACGAATCTAATTTTAAAATGAGCTAAAGCAAAATCTATTTAAATTGAGAGAGTGATTCGAGTTAAAAATCAATACATTTTAGAACAAATAACTCTCCTATCATTATTTTTGCAAAAATGTAAGGTTTTTGAGAAAAATTAACTGAAAACTGCGAAACGCTCTTTGATATGTATTCTTACATCAGACTGTGACCAATTGATACCGGTTAAGTGTAAATCACAAGAGGTTTCAAAAAAGAATTCAAAATTACTTTGAAATTAGCAGGTTAGCTTCATCAAAACATCTGCCTCTGTCAAAAGTCAACGTATTTGTAACTAAATGCGTCATGTCAGCACATTACGCAGTGGCCGCCTCAGCAAGCTTGTTACCTTCGTATTATCCAAGCGTGTAAGTCGACGCAGATTTGTATTGCGTGGAGATTTTCATTCTCAAGTAAGAGTTGTCGCCTGCGTTCAGTTGTTGTCTGGAGTATGTCGTCAAGTTCTTGCTGAAGCATCAACATCTCTGTTCTAAGCGCCTCCTGAATCTGATCAACTAGCTCATGGGTGCAGCCGGTGGATTCAATAACTAGGTCCTTGGAACACGTAAGTTGATGAGTAACAACGGACTGAAGTGGGTCTAGTTCATCCATTGTTGCTTCAGAATTCGATGCAAACTCTTCTTCAAGTGCCTTCAGGGTCGTTTTTAACTCGTCAATTCGTCGAAGAATCTAAAATAAAATGCACTTCACATGACCAGGTGCCATACTACCTACTTGACTACGTCATTCAGGCCCTAAGGTATTAACCAATTAGTTAAGCAAGTGAAATTTGGTGAAATCGATTAAACGCTAGTCAACTGTCTACGTTCGTGATTTCCTAGCTTAGTCATTGCGTGTTTAGTGTGTATTTAACTACAATGATTCGCATTTAGCGTCCCCATCTCTCATGAGAACACGTAGAATTATGCACCCCTAAATCACCCACGGTCTTTCCCGTTGCTCATATCACCCCTCCTGCCACCATCCGGGAATTTTGCACATTTACTTATTGATCCAAATTTTACTGGTCAGTGATTCCCATTTTTCATGTGACTCCTTAGTAAATGTTTAGACTTGGAGTAATACAAGACTTCGATTTCATAAATAAAAATGGTTTGAGCTCTCCGTCAAACAATATTCTCCTTCATCTTTCCTTGTATCTGCTTAGTTCAACGCCGTGGCCCCAATGTGGCACAGAATCAATTGCCGACCCACTATTCCTCTCACTGTAGCTGTTTGCTTGATTCCACAAATAGTAGACATCCTTATCAGTGTACGTTCATGACCACCCAGGGCATCGATTGTCTTTCTCTTACTGGTTGCTCTATCCTGCAAAAACAGTTTTTATGCGTCCCTTAGTGGCGCGGAACGAAAGGGCTTTCTTTCAGTCATGTTTGGTGAATTTTCCTACTTCCACATGCAAACTGGGAAGCAAACAAGCAAACTTTTATCCGTGGTAGAGCTTGTTTTTTTGTGTTTTGCCGACATACCACACAAATAGCCGCATGTGCAAAAAATAATAAGTACTATCTGGCAAACTCGCCTCCTTAGGGGTCACTGTTTACCCACCAAGTGCATTACTTCTGAGCAGAATAAGCAAAACGACATTCTATCTTATCTCATGAAGCACTTAGATTTCATGCTTCCTAAATAACTAATGCTCTTAGCGGTAAGACCAGCACTACGCGATATGCATTTGCTGTAACTAGATATGAGTATCCATTTTGACCTCTGCCATTTAAATGCACAGATTACAATCAGCCAAGATAGTAGCTACCCAGATTTTTCTTCGAATGCGTGATTGGAGTTGAACGGATTGCGTGAAGAGTGTGTTGGAGGTGAGTAGGTCCCTCCACCAGGGCTCTGTCGAAAAGTCTGCGAATTTGAGAAGTGTCGTCAGGAGATCTGGAATTGGTATCGAGGCGAAAAAGGTCTTTATCTGTCTAATCCACTCAGCTACTTCATTCACTTCCACCTGAACTGCTGAAGCTGCTAAGAAAACCCGAATTATCTCGCGTTGTTTGGCGAGTTCTGCTTGTAATTTGAAAAACTCGATAGCAAAAGCTTCCCGTTTCCATACCAAGTCCGTTTTCTCACGAACGAGGGTCTCGTTCAGGTTTTGCTTAAGGATTCGAAAGAAATTAGGCTTCAATCCATCGGTAAATTCGAAATACTGATGAAAATTTTCGGTTATAAGCATTCGTTTCTTGCGTAGGGAGCAAAAATCAAGTAAATCTGGCATGGGGCTTGGAAGAACCACAAGGCTTTGGCACCGTTTCACTGGCGTTGGTGAAATTTCGCACTTTTCCCTGCGCACAAGAGGCTGAATTTCAACTTTTGGATCATCAATGTCTGACAGGCATTCAGGAAGATTGCATTCAACGGCTTGGCATTCCATGTCCTTTGCCAGCTGTTTGAACTTGCTCTCGACTACTCGAATTGTATCAACTCTGCCGGCCACAAACAGTTGATTTTGAGCGATTTCTAAGGATTGTGAAAGTTCGTACACATACTTGCATTGATCCTATAAAAAAAAGAATATCGCTTGCCCAATCATTGCAGTGTTGTGAAACAATGATGCCAAGAAAACATGTCGAAATTTTTCATCTATAATGTTGCAATTTAGGATGTGGTTCTTAATCATCGCTAATTTTGGTTCCCCTTTTCTAATGTATCTTTGAGCGAATGATCAATAAAAATTTGGTCATGTGGTACAATGAATTTACGCGTATAGTAAATTTGTTTAAATAAGGTCTGACAAAATATTTTTATCAAATTTTGAAACAAATACACTACCTCATTGGCATCTCAAACTTGCCACTAGAATTTCCACGAAAAATAAAACATGACTGCTGTTGATACTGACAACTTAAAGTCCATTTTAGCTGCAGATATGAACATAATTTCCCAATTGAAATAAGCATGCTGAATTCTCTTTACTAAAACTAACGATGTTTCCTTAATCTCGCAGTAGTTAACTGGTAAGAGGCTACGGAATTTCTAATTGCTAATCCAACCAAAATGCTGAAGCCACTAAGAATTTGTTTCTTAGCTTTGTGAAACACCAAAATAACGGTTTTACAGTCATTTAAAAAGATTTAGTAAGCATAAATTGAGTAGAGTTAAATGTTTCTCTCTGTTTAGTACAAATAATGATTATTACAGAGCAATTCTTACTTTAAGTGTGGCCAAACTCCGACACAGTCTGCCAGACAGCAAGGAAAGTTGTTCTTTCTTGGAATAGAATCCTTTATACAATACGATTGCGGCACGTAGAGTGAGGTTTGCAGCCCAAAACCTTGCAAAAACACGGCCTACAGCCTCGTCGGATCCCGTGTGTGTAAATGAGTCCACATTAAGTAGCAATTTGGAAACCTTTTCACTCGCCACATCCACCCGGCTTTCCCAAATAGCTAGCACATTCCTGTCCACCTGGCCCTTCGCAACAGCCTCCCAAATCTTGTCCAATTCCTCTGTTGAACTGATGACTTCCATCAGCAAGTCGAGAGTCGCGCAACGCTGTGACAGCATTGTCTGGCGTCGCGTGAATTTCGCCTGAACAGCACTCCAACGTTTTTCGATTTGACGCAGTGCTTGATCGCGGGGCTGAAGGCGTTTGAGAAGGTGCATTTTCTGCATGTGATGGGTTTCTGCGTCGACTGCCATCGCCGCGTTCTTGCGGCAACTGGTCAGGAAAAGGCATTTCTGATGATGCAGAAGCCTTGTCGAGATGCAATTTGTTTTGCGCAGGACTCGCGAACCCGTTCGAATGCCCAGCGTATCGGATCGCGTAGCCACATCAATCAACTGATCGCATTCAAGCAGCCAGTAGGTATGAAATTCGACTTTTTTGCGAAATTTGGCCTTTAAGTATTTCTCCTGGGCCTAAATTTGAGTGCATAACATTTTAACGCAAGATATGCGGTCAAATTTGATTAATTAATCTGACTTTTCTAAACCGCACAAATGTTGGTCCGTTTACTAGGTCCATCTGAGCTATTTTTCAGACTAGGTTAACCTGAACAAAACAGGCATTTACGAATACGACAAAAATGTTGCATTCCTGCTAGAGTAAAGCAGGAGCTAAGTAGAACTCTCTGTGGGTTCGCAAGTGCTTCTGGGAGGATTTGAAGTCAAGCAACTTCAACTCATTTGCAATCCCGAAACGTGGAATCTTACTGCTTTTTTCCAATCGCTAATTTCATTATCAGGCAATAGGGACAGCGATTCATTGTTGCTGTTCTTTAAAAAATCTGTGACGGATAATTCAGAATCTCGTTATAAATTATATTTTGTGCTTTTCCACTTGCCATGTGAGTCTACGAGTAGATACTTATGAAGTAACAGCGATTCTCGAAACTCAAATTTTTGAAGACACAACATGGTTCAAAAAACGGTTGAAATTTTAAAATGTGCTGTATAAGGCACATGATTTAATGATATCTTACAAATTTATAAAAAATCGATTACTGCAATGCCTCGGTAAAAGCCAATCATTCAACCTCATGCAAAAAAGTCCTTATTATTTACACCGTTTTAATAAAAGCGAAATGTTTTGGTAATTTTTTTGATTTATCACGAATTCATTAACCGTCATTTATGACACCAGCAAAAGACCGTAATTCTTGCGCTTACCACGAACCTGTCTGGTTTACTCAAGGGGAAGGTCGGACTCAATTAGCAAGACTAATGGTAAGAAGATGCATTAGGAAATTAGGTTTCTAAGCAAACTAGATTAAGGAATGGGTTTTGTAAGTGAAAACCGAGTGACTTGAATGTGTTGTGCTTGTACTAGGCTATGAAAATTGCTGCTTGCCCTCTATTCACACTAACAACAAACTTGTACCCAAAAAAGGCCATTTTAATGAATGCATCTAAATAAATGCAGCCAAGTCTTGGTCTAGCTATTTTCTAAAAAATGTTTCCAATGATTTAGGAATCAAAAACCTGTTCAACGGAATGTTCCTACACTTTGAACTGGTTTTAACACAACATAAACTGATAGGTTTACTATGGAATTGATTGAGAATCCGTCGAATTAAGTCAGTTTTGCCATACCAGCCTGTCTAGACTTTGTTTGATCCTCCTTTCACACCTTGTCTCAGCTGTCTCCAATTGCGACCAGACAGTTTGTACGACAGAGACGTCAAATCCTGGAGGCGGCGCAGGTGGACGATAACCTCGTGCGATGCATTCCGTCTTCAGGTTTATCCAATTCAACTAAAAAAGGCAGAATTTAAGCAATAATTGTCTTTGAATTTAGTAGGTGGACTAATTAGACCATTAGCCAATTAAAGTTCACCTCGATCTGCTCGAGTTCTGTCAACTTTTCGCGTTTCTCTTCCTGCCTCCAGAGCCTCAACTGTTGCAAACCATCTTCAGGTTGAACTGTACATGGGTTGCCTGATTCGTCCTCAATCCCAATTCCGAGTTTATCAAGGAAATCAATGCTCTTTTTAATCCATTTTCGTAGCCAATAGACGTCTTGCACGAAGGCCATCAGCTTTCTTCCGGTAGCCACTGCTCTGTCCAACACAGACGCCAGCCGATTGGAAGATAGCTTGACGGCTCGGTCCTGATTCAGTCGATGGTACCACGTCGCCACGACCGCCACGACGCAACATTCGTCCACGCAACAGGCAATGAAATCGGATGGACAGACGATCATGGGGATTCGTAAGAACCTCTCGGCCTGTGTGAACACCGTGGAAAGGCGGTCGATAGGAGACGCAGTGGGTGAGAGGAGGGAGTCAAGATTTACGAGATCCGGGCGGTGTCTGTGGAGGAGCGCGCACATCGCTAGACCATCAGTCCAGCTTGTTGTGAAGTTGCTGATGTTTATCTAAATGTGCAACTGTCGGTTGTTTCCGCAAACTCAGTTATGAGATTGCAAGTGTACTTCGCACATTCAGGGTTTATTGGGTTTATAAGTGTCTTCAGCAGCAGTTGATAAGTTGTGGGCTTCGGAAGTCGTGTCAGAGCGAGGTTTCAGACAAATACCTACTGCATTTTGTACTACAACGCACGTATTCACTCTCTGTCTGAAATCGAAATTTAGATGAAAGGCATCCACGCCATGTTCCTTTGTATTTTAAAGGCTCTGTGTCTGAAAGAGATTCTTGAATGTCTAAAAACGAACGCCATACACTAAGGCTGAATCCAGAAGAATTCATAATGATAGTTAAAGAGTTTGCGTCTGTCAGGCCACATCCTTCAAAAATCATGCGGATCAGATCAATCAGTTATCAGCACATTTTTGCAGCAAAACCTTTAGAGTGTAATGGTTTCGTCAGTCGGCTTAAATCGTGTTCGATGAATTGCAAAATCAGAATTACCTTATAGACTAATTACTAAGAACTGACTGGAAAATTTATTGTGCGGAAACAAGGCAATTTATATGTTAAAAAAATATTTCGGTTAATTATTGGTGCTAAGAAGTTTTAAACCAGGCAGGATTCGTATGAAGATGAAACCACTTCTCTACCTAGTTTTTGTGTTGAGAATACATTTTGTCACTGCTTGTATTCAAAGCTAGCTGTAACGATAATGCTTTTTGGCAAAACAGCTTGATAACATCCTTTATTCAGTCGTTTCACACTAGATTAATTTCTTTAAATGCTGTAGGCTTGAAGCCTAAAAATTTGTACACAGAATGCTTGAAGTCATTCTTCCGCAGTCTGTCACGATTATACCTTTGTCGAATTTGCAAGTAATTAGGATGTAGCATGTCGCATAGAGTTTAATTTCGGTCGCTAGCAATTTAAATGTCGGTGTAAAGTATAAATTTCGGCAACTTAATTAGTATGCATAAAAAAAATACACTGCAGAAAATAATGACTAAAACCATGCCACACTGCAGAACCTATCACACATAGTTTAAACTCGTTGGCCACTTTATGACAAAGGCGAATTCTTGGACATTTGCTGAGGATGTAGAACAATTGCGTGCACAGGGCAGGATAGAAATTAGACCAAGTCTGCGGACAACGGAACAGACAGGGTTTGCGTCACTCAAAAACAGTGCGTGACTGGAAAAATTACCTCATTTGAGCACTGACCTGGGGGTAAACAGCCGTCTTCAGCTGACACCATCGAAGAAGGGCATTCTTCATTTCAAACGACGACTCCGTGTTTAGTTGGCGCGTTAGCGGGTGCTGACCAAGCTAGAAAGACATGTTTTCGCGAGGGGTGAAGCCATTCGATGTGGTGTGCAAATGATTTACACGACAGTCTCTTGTTGGTTAGTAGATTCTGTTGGCGGTGTTGAGATTCGCGTTGATTCACACTCGTTAAATTGGTCACTCCGGCCTCTGACAAAGGGTCCCCCTGTTCGCAGCGTGTCACCAGCCGTGCGGATCCTAAAGTCCCCCTTTACTAGTGCCAACGATCATCCTAGATTATCCTCACACCTAGGTCTCGATGGCAGCGCATCTACGATTCAAACATCTGAGGTACAAATGCACACGCCACAAGAACACCAACGTGGTTGAACTCTGAAGTAAACGGTTGTGTCCACGTCCTCTCCGGTCTCTTTCTTCATTGAGGGTAGCAGAGAGGCTTGAACGGGGCAGATCCAACTCAATGGCCCCGACGTGGTTCAAGACCACATACTGGGGCCCACAACACCGGATTACTTAGAAGTAAATTGTTGTTTCAGGTCGATCTTAGCGCTATGTCGAAGAAAAGGTTATGAAGACCTTGGCGCTAATCGTCTAACAGAATACTACGGAGGTTGGCGCTGGAAGATTGATTTTATCACGCACACACATACTGAAACGCTAAGTTATTAGACGTCGAATGGTAGCAGAACAATTACATTTCTCCAAATGTTTTGAACATGCAAGAAATAGGAAAGTTTGATTCTGCATGAGCTGAGACAGATTGACTCAACATAACAAATTCGATTTCCCAAAATGTGAACAAAATGAATTCCTGTTGGTTTGTCACTAGTGATGGAAAACTAAAAATAATCTTGGTTTTATACGAGACGTACCAGACAAAATTATTTTGAAGGCAGAATCACAATAACAGTGCTATTTTCAGCTAGAATTGTTAATTTTGAGGAAGAACCAGCTTGCTAAAACGTTCACTATTGAAATCGACTAAAATTTGAGAAGACATTCAAGAAAAAGCCCCAGGTTTGACAAATCAAACGTAATTTGTGTTCCGCCCTAACAATGCTGAACCCTAGACATTATTTAAAAAAAGTGAGGATTAAGATCTGTCGGTGTCAATCCAAATGTTATAATTATTACTGCATGCTAATAACATGGCAATAATGTAATGTTGTCATGTTGTCATATTACCGGTTAGACCAGGGAGTGCTCAGATAGCAAAATGTTTGCAATCAAACATATTTTTTCATGTCAATGGTTTTTCGCATTAATAGAAATGTTGAAGCTTATCTGGCAAGGATTGTATACGGATGGTTTAAATACGTCAAATCTTCAACCTCTTCCATGCGTCTCATGACTCATGATACTGCACAGGTGACTACAACATTTGTGTTCACCTGGTACTGCGCAAATTCACCAAGAATTGGGTTGCATGGTGGTTGCTTAGCTCCAGACTTTGGCTCATTAGTGAAAGCTCGCAGTCGCAGACATCGTCTATTGGTTCATGTGCGTATATCTATACCCAGGTGCATCTTATTCAGTTTTTTTATTAAATTACATTCGCAGTAGCCGTTTGCGCGTGTTCGGCAAAGCGTTGTGCGTACTTGGAAACCTCGTCCCACGTCAGCAATGTCATCAGTCGCCTTCAGAAGGCTCCTTCATGGTCACTGCAGTAGAGTGATGGGTTAGAAGAACTAGGTACCTCTTGTGCCACTGTAAAATCGTCCAATTCGCCCTTAAGGACCGTTCAGACTCGTTATCGAGAGCAAATGCACACCAAACCGAGTGGACGAATGCCACCAGAAGACTATTTGTCGCCACCAGGGGTTAACAGGTCACGTCCAAAAGCAGAATGGGGTGTGAGTTAGCGGACTTAACAACAGTGATCAGTTTGCGTGTTTGGTGCAACTGTTTCCCTCAGATCAATTTTTAAGTGTTTCAATTTGTTAATGAAAAAAAAACAGGTGAGAAATATTTTCTCTTAGTTCCAGTAACGATGCATGAATTGCCCCATGTTTATACACCAATACCTTCCATGTGATGTTCTTTTCGCCGTTGTCTTTGCCCAAGTCCATTAGACTTTATAATTCATCAGAAAATCTCACATTTTCGCGTCTGTGAATGCTGTTTCAGCTTCGAATTAATAAAAAAAATTACGACAAACAAAATTGCAACGACAGACCAATTTCCCAGCGTACAACACTTTAAATTCTCACATGATTATCAGATTTCTGATGAATAACTAGCAGTTTTTTTAATCCCCAAGTAAATAATATTAAAACCCACAATCTTTTGTCCATTTTTACACTAATTTTTACGCCTGGCTTGGGAAGGTACAAGTTTGGGTTTGTGGAAGGATACTCCAAATTGTAATTTGAGTAGGCAGTTTGAAAAAGACTGTTGACCATTGTGGAAGAATATTCGGGTGCAACGCGTGAAGTTTCGTGCGTTTCTGCAGCCTCATGCAAAATTAACTACCAAGTGCTACCAGGATTAACGCCAACATTCATAACTACCTGCACAAAACCACTTCGATTTCACAAGAATTTGACTTGGTTTAAACAATTCTGGCGAAATCCAAATGCCCAACAGTTTAGTCGATCCTCTTGGTCATGGTCAAATGGAGCTTCCAGATCAGTTCAATTTGTAGTGTTTCATCTTTAGAGATCAGTCTAACCATAGCAACACAACAACAAATACTCCACAAATGGTTAGTAAACCGCGGAAAATGTGTAAAAAGTTGCAAAAAATCGTGGAATGCGTGAAAAGGCAGAGGTGGGTTGTCTCGTGTTGGCGAGATGCGTCAGGGCACAGCCGAACCATGTGCCGCAAGAGTGGGGCTCAGTGTCAAATCATTTCTTGACGAAAAACCCAATCAAAGGAGAAAAAAACATGGGTAAAAATCCAAGACACCGCCTGTCAACGGCCTCTTGTGAACACTTTCTGTTAAAAACTATGAAAAACCACTACAAAGGACCAGTGTGACGACTGAACTAAATGTGGATAATTTCTAGGAAATTAAGAAACGAAGTAGACGTTTTATGCAATAAGGATTCAAGATTCTATTGCAATTTCAATATTGGAATAAATTTGAATCAATGGTATCATTTTACCAATGTCCGGAAGTCACCCAAAGACACTAAAATCAATGCGTTGATTGGGGATTCGTTAATCCTTAGCGTTAATTTGGTGTTAAGCTCCATGTCAGATATTAGAATCAGGGTCTATAAGCGATGCCCGATTGAGCGTAAAAGCATTGGCCTGCCCATCGAGTACTTTCATGATTGCCCTCCTTAAACTACTATTGTGGCTAACCAATCATTGCGTACGAGTTACGCGCGTTTTCTTGGAAATGAGTACCTGGAAGTTGAGGATGAATGTCCATACCAGACCCAGGATGAGGTTTGTGTTACCATCCACAATGTCAACTGGTCCGATGTTCTCCGGATGGATGTGCATCTTCTTCATATGGTCAAGGACTTTGCCAACGTTCTCCAATGAATGCACGCGCATGCTTCCACGCGAGAAAGTGATCTGTGGGGAAGCCAAATAGCAACTCATTTTAAGGTAGTTCTTGGCACATTAGTGACAAGCCACTGTTTCCAACTTAGCCTGTGCGAATTAGTTATTGCGTCACAGTTTTTTTAAACATGATGGGAGTAGAATCTACATCTTGATTAGCTCAGCTCAATTGGCAAGTGCCTTTGTCCGTTTCCAAGAAAGACACGTATCGCTTTTTGAAATTCCTTGAGTGGAAAAAAATACCAATTTTATTCATGGGACTGTTGCAGTTTTCTCCAAGTGGGCAAATCACCAAATGTCTTTGTGTTTTTGACAGCTGAGTACGTAGGCAGCAAAGAATTCGAGGGATGGAGAATGTGCCATAAGGCGGCAGCGGTCTTCCATCTGGTTGTACATTATGTTGACTCGAATTGGTGACTGCAAGGTGACGAGACGCCAAGTCTGACCAAAAAATTTCCCACACAGTCTTCCGAACCTGTTAGACGCATTTAATTCAAATTTTTTTGCATGTTCTACCTAAATCTTACTTCCTCATGATTTGGTAATGCAAAACGGCAAGGCGTGTAGCATTCGTCGGTTTTATCATGAACCTCTATCGCTAAGCGCACTAATGGCAGGGAGACATGGCGAGCGAAGGAAGACTTGACGTTTATTTTACGTCGAGAAGGGCAGCTGGTAATGTGGAAATCGTAGGTTTGACACAAAAATGCTACCTTAAAACTACCACCATTTCCGTCTTGTACTGATTATAGATTATGTTTTTGGGGTATGCTAAGTAAGCTCACATTATCAGACAAGCTATGAAATTGCACCACTCGGGTCAAATTATTCCAAAACCAATCACGAGATCCATAGCCAGGAGTTCGGATGTCATCTAAGAGGTCACAAGCAACTCTGCACTTCAGTTTCCTTTGAACATTTATTGAATCGGTTTTTCAGAAAATGATAAAATAAATTACCTCTTATTTCACTCACATTACCTACCTCCTGTGTCTGAACAAACCTCCAACCCTGAATTATGGATTTAAGTAGACTTCTGATTTTTAATCAATCTGGAACAACATGAAATGCAATTTTGACGGACTACTTTAGAAATTGACTATACATTCAACTCCGTCACTGGCAGAGACTGATTGACTTTACTCATGTTGAAATCCACAAAACAGTTTCTGAAAGTGAAATATGAAGTCTGCAAACTCCGTTACTGTCAAAACACCAGTGTGGCGGGCGGATGCATGAAGATAGAGAATTGTGGTAATACTGAGTCAACATCTCCCTGTCTCCAAGTAAGAATGACCTTGAAAGCGTGCAGTCATTATACACAGGAGACGGAATGTTCGTTGAAGGTTGCTTGTGGAAGTCCATTGGCGCAATCACATCCACGATAAAATTGAAAGAGTACCTTAATTGAGGAAAAACTATGGAAACGTGGTGGCGAGGTTAACTAAACAGCTCACTCTTCGCCCTGTGAAGATCTCTAGCAGGCGCAGAAGAACACGACCATCGGAGAGATCGCTGTAAAGGTCGGTGACTCTCTGCAGGGTTTGGCGTCCCTTGAAGATCAATGCAAGCCGAGTTTCAAGTAAGTCGCCGCTGAAGTCGTCGCCGTAATTCCCATTTAAAAAGGGCTCTTCGAACGTGTTGCGATCCGCTAATTCGAGTTGGGCGTTCACCCAGTTGGTAAATATCTTCTTCTGCTGCAGCGCTCGTGTTTCTTTTGGTTGAACACAAACAGATGCAAAATTCAAGACAAAGCAAATCCTCTAATTGGGAAATAACATGCTGCTTTTCCACTAAGCAGCGAGCTAAGGTAATGTTTCACACGTCGAATGACTGACAAATTAGGCAAAACCTGCGTTGCAAGTTACAAGTCCACTGGCCAAATTATTAGCAAAACTGCATGAATTGAATGAATTTAAGTGTGACTGCAAATTAACACTGCGGATCTTATTAAAGAAACCATACTATCCGTTTTTGCTAGTCATTACCCGATAAATATCCCATTTTAATAAATAGTCTTAAGCAAAATGAAAACAAATTAAGATACATACCCATGGAACTTAATTAATAACAGAAGAAGTCAGCAGCATCTGCAGACACGTTTGTAAAAAGACAAAATTCTGCTCCCTTTCATTTGATACACTTCAAAACTTTTAATTATTTTTGAAAATAGAATTAAATCAATTACAGAGAATCCTTAAGTATTGATAATTGAATAATTGCATAGCTATTTTCTTTAATTATTACTCAAGCTGAAAGTAAGCAGATGGTTATAAAACGAGGAAAAATTTTGAACTAAGCAGATAAATTAGACTAAGACAGCATTTGCTAGTTGCGACATACACTCATAACTTTGCATTCATGATGTTTTTAATAGTTTGTAAATAAATTTCAGTGGAATCTACGTAATCCGAATTGAGTACGAATGCACTCCTAGTGTTTATTCCAGAAAATGCGTTAGGTTTATTTTAAATGTCCTAATTACCAGTGTCATCTAATGAAACGACTTGCCTAAAATACGACAGCATTGTCACAAAACTAGCTGAATTAAATCATATATAGCTTTAAAAATATCAAATGGATAGAAGCAATATTAGGTCATCTTATAATCAAGATTAAGAAATACGATTATTCTCTGATCCACAGCTTTATGTTGTTTCTCATTCTACCCATTACTATGACAATTCACAGAATGCCAATGAAAAAAATAAGCGAATGCTGTACGCATAACATTTTGCTTGACAATTTAACATTCACAAAAAAATTTCAAGAGATAAAAGCGAGCGTTTAAAGTGAATGCCAACAAGAAAACAGAGATATCTTATTTTTAATACTTGGTCAAATTCGAAACTGATGGGGAATTTAAATTTTGCTAAAACGTGCTTTTTAAAGCTATACGTTAGTATAAAATCTTCTAAGGGGGCTTAAAAGCTTCTGCAATTTACGGAAAAAAAGTACTTTTGAACGGTAAATCAAAGGACCTGGGTAAAGTTATGAGACTCCCAACCATGAAAAATTTTTGATTATTTAAATGTAGTGCTTTTGTATAATAACGACAAAAAATAAAATGATTTCATACGTTTAGTATTGCAGGTGCTAAAAATAGTGTTTCGGAATGGTAATAACACCTATGTATGTGGAGTTTTATATGGTCTTTTAGATTTATCAGGCTTGGTTTTTCGTGTGGTTTAAATAATTGACAAATTTAAGTCAAGACAAGCATCGAATGATAGAATATAATTACGCGACAGTTAAAATAAAAAACTTTTCGCAATTGGATATTTGTGTAAGCAGTAAAAAGGAGGGAGCACTAGCAAGTCGTGGAAGTATTAATGTTCTTTGAAATGGTATCAAAAGCAAGACATTAAAATTACTAATATAGAAGAAAGCAAAAAACACTCTGAGGTAAAATTTAGATGCAATAAAGTACAAAAAAGGACTGATTTTAGAAACTCAAATTATAACCAACATACCACAATTTTAACATACTTGTTAAGTTGTACACACGTGTCGATTCAAAGGTGTCCATAGAACTTTTATTGGCTTCACAAACTACTAAAAAAGAAAAATATTAAAGCAGGCAAAAAGGAATAGAAAAACAAAAGTTTCGAACTAATGATATTATACCATTCAGAAAAAATATGAAGATTAGGACTTGTTTACATTAGATATAAAAGAAGATTGCGATAAGGTTCAAAATTTTGTGCAGCTAATTTTTTTGTTGCTGCTATATAAAATTTTATTGTCCAGCCCTTACATATCAGCTTGACGTCAAACCACTGTTAGAATAAATAGCTGTATTTCAACGAACCGCAATAACAGGCAATGCGATTTGAAAATGCAAAAGGAACAGTAAGGTCAAATCCAAGTAACTAGTTAAAACAAAACGCGCAGGCTAGGTGTCCAAACAACAACTAAAAAAACATTAAGCGCACTTTTTTCTACAAGCTTAACTAATTTAGATTTATACAAACTTAACATATATTGCTGCTTTTTACGCCATTATCTGCCTAATGCAGATTATCAAGACTTTAAGATTGTGCATCACAGGTTTTCAAGACTAATTGATGCACTTAATGCTAAATGCCTATGCTACCTACTTAATCACAAATTCATTAATTCTTGCATATTTTAAGCACCTCATAATTCTGGCTTCACTTTCTTTGGCAACTTTAGCAATTTATATGTACACAGATTTTCTAATTTTTGCCCTAAGCAGGCATTATGTACTTTGCAATTACATTACTTTTCTGGGGCTAGTTATTAAATGCTGCCACCTACTTTATGCAGTACCCACTCGCACATATTTTTCTTAGCATTGATTGGCTTATATACTTATCCTTGTCTATTGTCATATCCAAAAACTATATTTAGGTTTTTAAATACGGATCTTGTAGCACAACAATAACGCTTAAGACTAACTGGGTTAGCTAAGCAGTTAAGGCATATTTAGGCCCACAGTTCGTTTGCACCTACTCATGTTATCCATTTTGTTTGTAATTTCTTTTTTAGTATTTGGGGTTATTACTTGGTTATTCAAACTTAATTCACAATTCACAAAATCATCAACACTTAGGTTATTTGAAAAATTAGAAGCACACTGTTCTAATTTACTTAAATTAGTTGTTTTTGAAGCATGTTTTAATCGGTCGATTTTACCAGTGCCCTTTCAATAATGTTCCAGGCCAGGCTTTTGGGGCTAGTTGGTGTGTAGAATACCCGAGCCCTAATAGGAAGAAGACCGATACAACAGAACAGGCTTTATTGACCAATCAGAAGCCAGAGCCACGCGTCAGGCGCCTTCCATCCGAGTCCTCCACACTGGCCACGCCGCTCATTATATACTGCACCTCAGTCGTGTTCTTCTCTGGTTGGCTGCTTATCTTCCTCGCACGCCATTGGAACGCAGAGAGACATGGGATTGGCTGGGGCCAGGTGGTCCAATATGTCTGCACCCTGATCCCACGCCACACTGCCTCCCCCTCAGCAGTGAAGCTGTCCTCAGCTTCTGGCTTGGTTCGCCGTACTGTTCGTGAGTGGTAAAATATCCAGTTCGACACTCCCCGCACCCCACATCTGGCAGGATAGTGGTCCATGCGAATAGTTGACGAGGGACTTTGCTCTTGTAGACTTGCAGGAAAGACTCATCATCCATTGAAGGTCCTTCGCAGA